CATAATAAGCACAAATAAGAGAATTGTTGAAGCAATGTTTAAACCAATCAAGCAATGTTTAAACAAGAAGGTGTTTTCATCAAAGCAAATTAGTGTTTTCACATACTTTCCCCCTGGTTTGATGAAAAGAACCTTCAGTTCCTTTTGCGTTTTGAAGATCCGGCAGCCTCACTGATACCTTGCATGTTGCCACAAAGTTCTTTGATGCGCCTTATATTGTTGCGTCTCTCCTCTGTTTGGTTATCATTTGAGAAGTGAGCAGCAACAGTTCCTATAGCCTCTGTTCCATCCAATCCTGAGCTGGATAGGTGCTGCGCTGAGTTCTCCGGATTTCTTTGCTGTGCTTCAAGGATTAGATTAGTCATGTTCAGATGAGAAGGGATATAAGAGACTTCTCCTTCTTTGACTGCAATGGGGAGTTCTGGTATCAAGGATGGACTATGTTGTTGAAGAATCACTTCCATCTTGCGATTTCCAGACTTTGCGCCAAGAAGTCTGAACAGTTTATGTGCTTCCTTCTGATTGTCAATGATCACCTTCAAGTAGTCTTTGGTCACTACTTGATTTGCTGAAGATACTGCTAGAGCTGATCTGATGTCCATTTGGAGAAGAGACATTTGCTTTTGTAGGCTGACGGTGATATTAGCTATTTGCTCTTTGACTTTGTTAATCTCCTTGAGTTGAAGATGACTGTCAGATGCATATATCTCCATCGTGTTGCTCACAGTTTTGCTCAATAGAGAGATGATCTCTAGAGTCTTGTGCACTGACTTGCTTATATCTTTGAGATCTGCGTTGTGTTTCTCTTCAGATTTCTCTATCAGCTTGGTGTACCTGGCTTCCATTTGCTCTATCTCTTGCCTAAAGGAGGCATGTTGAGATGCTAGGGCTGATTCAATCAACCCTTGGACCTTCTTCGTCCAGAGTTCCGGTATTTCATCCGGAAGTGTAGGGGTGGAAGAGCTATGGAAATGAAAGTTGGTTACCTGGTGAGAAGAGGGTGTTCTTTGAAACAGTTGCATAGGAAGAGATTCAGCATCTTCTTGTACATCTTCTTCATCAGTGATCTTTAATGTTCTCTCAGATTCTCCTTCTGCTTCATCAAGCACAAAATTCGATATATATCTAGAGAGGGAATCACTATCTTCAGCTTCATTTTGTTCTTCAAGAATGGCTATTGGAGTTTTAGAGAACTCCAGTTCTGCCATTTGAGTTTCCTTCTCAGCTTCTCTAGAATTCCTTTGGACTTCTACAGCTTGCTCCTCTTCATTTGTATCTGGAAAAGTTGACTGTTCCAGAATTTCTGCTGACTTCTCCGGGATCTCAATTCCAGTGTGATTGGAGATCTCACAAGAAGTTGTGAGAATCTCTAAAGCTTGAGATTGGATTAGTTGCTGAGATTCTTCTTTTTCTGCTGTTTTCAGGTTTTGTTCTTGTGGGGGAGAGGCTGCCTTCTCTTGGACAGCTTCAGTCAGAACCATTTTAGAAGCATGTGAGATTTCCTGAAGAGCAGGTGAGGTTTCCGTTTCAAAGGCAGGTGAGGTTTCCGAAAATGTATGGAAGTCCTCAGCTGTTGCTTCCAAAACAGCTTGTGCTTCAGAAGTGAGAACCACATGTTCTTCTATGGCTTTAGAGAAGACTGGTTTGTAGACTGAAGGATCTTCATCATCTACTTCAAATTCTGAAATTGGTGAGTTGGCTAGGTATTCCAGATGCAGGTCTTCATGGTTCCTTTGCCATACCCAGTAGTCATCCAAGATTTCTTCACAGCTATGGTTGACTGGTATTCCTAAGCATTTCTTGATGATCTTCTCATTCTTCAGCTGTTGGTCCCAATCCATCAGTTGCTCTGCTGAATTTCCAACTTTCCATGCTCTCCAATCATAGTAGAGCTGCCAGAATTGGTTATCAGCATCATCCATTTGAGGTTGAGGTAAGGAGGTTGGAAGGCTTTGGACTTGAGGGATTTCTTCTTCAAGTTGTTGAGGACTCCAGTTGTGGGCAGAGGTTTCCTCAGCAGGTTCCTTCTCCTTCAACTTATCCGAGTTGACATATCCAGATGTTGAGGGAGAGCAGAGTTTCCTCTTCTTCTTCCTTTGAAGTTCTCCTTGCACAGAGACTTCTTCTGCTTCTTCCACATTGACCAGAGCAAGGTTCTGTGGTGCTTCAACACTAATGGAGGGAGACACCACTTGCTTCCTTTTGGCAGTCTTCGCCATATGGATGAGTGGGACATTATCTGATGAGCTTTCCTCTGCAGTGACACTAGCACCAGTTCTGTTTTCCCCTTTTGAAGACAAATAGTTTAACCAATATCTTTCTTCATACTTCTTTCCTTTAGAAGCAGCACCCATAGACTCCAAAACATGTCCAATGTAGAGACCTTGACAAAGGTACTTCTGATTGTGCTTTCCCAGATGTTTTGAGATGGATTTAAAGAAGTGTGCAACCCAATTTACCTTAGATTGGGTAATTAGAGCGTTGATGATGAAGGCTCTCTCCTGCGTGATGTCATCGGCATGACCTCCGCTTCCACACTCGAGGCAAGCGATGACCAGTTCTAAAACTAACTTGTAGTCGTTGTTCAGATCTGCTTTCTTCGCTGGGCCAGAAGGAATTTGCCCAGAGATTCCAATGATGTTCCAGTCCAGCCAGATTTTTGACTGGAAATTTCCCAATTTCAACTCCAGAATTGGGAAGGCGAAGCTTTTCTCCCAATTTCTTCTGCGAAAGCTTCACTTTTGTACCTCCAACAGTGGACTTGATGACTGGAAACGTATTCTGTGGGTCCTTCTTTGAATGAGCAGTCTTGACCTCTCCATTTCTGTAGAATTCAAGAACTTCTTCTTCAAATTTGAGGCGAATCTCCATTTGAAGAAATTCGGAGAGTTCTTGAGCGGCTATCATCTCCAGATAGCTTTGAAAGAATGTTGGTGAAGAGCACTTGGCTTCTAACTTCTGGAAGTGAATATTAGCGCCGACAACCTTCATTTTCTCAGAAATTTGAGTGAGAATTTGAAAGAGAGAGACCTAGGGTTCTTGAGAGTTTTTCACGAAGAAGACGACGAAAAATTTTGAATAGGCGGTTTAGATCTGAATAGTGGCGATTGGGTTTTATTTGGGCGATTTGCGCGGCTGGTGGCGATTGGGTTTTTGACTATTCCCAAGGCCACGTGCCTACCCACTATATTGACAGACGTGGAAAGTGGACTACCACGTGTACCGCACTCAGTCTAATTGAATTAGACCAATTTTGTGGAGTAAACCGGAAAACTTGGCTTCACTTAGTGGTTTAGTGAAGATATCCGCCAGTTGTTCTTCAGTTGAGATATACTCGATTTTGATATCTTTCTTTTCCACATGATCTCCCTTAGTGTGTAACTCAAATCCTGGAGGTTGTTCCACATAGACTTCTTCCTCGAGGTTTCCGTTGAGAAATGCGCTTTTGACATCCATTTGATAGACTTTGAAATCTTTATGGACAGCAAAGGCTAGAAACAGCCTTATAGCTTCAAGTCTAGCAGCTGGAGCGAAGGTTTCATCAAAATCTATACCTTCTTCTTGACAATATCCTTTGGCAACTAACCGGGCTTTGTTTCTGACAACAACGCTGTTTTCATCCATCTTGTTCCGGAAGACCCACTTTGTCCCAATGACATGTTGATGAGTAGGTCTGGGAACAAGTTTCCAGACGTCATTTCTGGAAAATTGGTTGAGTTCTTCTTGCATTGCATTAATCCAATCAGAATCAGCTAGAGCTTCTTCAATATTCTTTGGTTCCACTTGTGAGATGAAACAAGCAAGCATGGCTTCTAGATTCTGCTGGGCACTCCTTGTGCGAACGCCAGATTGAATATCTCCAATGACTTGTTGAGGAGGATGATCCCTTAACCAACGAAGATTATGTTGATTGGGATTGACTGGTTGATCTAGTTCGGCTTCTGGTTGAAGAACAGAAGTTGTTGGTGTTTCCGGATGGATTGGCACTGGGTCGCCATTTCCGGAATTGTCACCGTTTTAGAGTTCCGGAATATTGGAAGGCTGGCCAAACTTTCCGAAAGGCTCAGCACTGTCTGAATCCGGATTTCTCTGTGAAGTCTTCAGTGGTAGACTTCTGAATGGAATGAACTCCGTAGGTTTCATTCTATCTCCTTCATTGACTTCTTCATCCTTGTCTGAGAGATCCAGAACCTCATGATCATGCTTTGATGGCTTGTCAACCACATGTTTTTCATCAAAAATAACATGTATTGACTCTTCAGTGATCATGGTTCTTTTGTTGAAGACTCTGAATGCCTTGCTCACCATGGAATATCCTAGGAAGATGGCCTTATCTGATTTTTCATCAAAAGTATTGAGATGATTCTTCCCGTTGTTTAATACAAAGCACTTGCTCCCAAAAATATGGAAATACGATATATTAGGCTTTCTCCCGTTCCATAGTTCATAGGGAGTTTTGTTGTGCCTTTTATAAATCATACTCCTATTTTGAGTATAGCAAGCTGTGTTAACAGCTTCAGCCCAGAACCTCTTTGGTAAGGAGGCTTCTGCTAGCATTGTCCTTACTGCTTCCTTCAAGGTTCTGTTCCTTCTTTCAGCTACACCATTCTGTTGAGGCGTCCTAGGTGCGGATGTCTGATGAAGAATTCTGTTTTCTTCACAGTAATGAACGATGATTTCGTTCAGAAATTCTGTGCCTTTGTCAGATCTGATTTTCTGAATGGTCTGACTTGCTTGGTTTTGAATCAGCTTCATGCAGTTTGTGAGTTTCCCTTGAGTTTCCTTCTTGCTGTTGAGGAAGATTGTCCACGTGTATCTTGAGTAATCATCAACTACCACCATGACATATTTCTTTCCACTTAGACTTATTGGTGTAACAGGGCCAAATAAGTCCATGTGAATAAGACTTAATATCCTTGTAGTTGAGGGTGCCGGTTTTGCCTTGAAAGTGGACTTGACTTGCTTTCCTTTTTGACAAGCATCACAAATGCTTTCCTTCCTGAATACAGCTTTGGGAAGACCTTCTACTAACCCTTCTTTGGATAGCTTGTTGAGGGTTTTGAAGTTGAGATGACTTAACCTCTTATGCCAAAGCCATAGAAGGTTAGTGTCACCTTTGCTGATTAGGCATGCTTCCTTGACATCGTCCCACATCACTTCATAGATGTTCCTGATTCTCTTCCCAGTGAGAATAACTTTATTTGTGGAGATGTTCTTGAGGGATGCCATGTCCTTGCAAAATTCCAAAGAGTAACCTTTATCACAAAACGGACTTATGCTAAGAAGGTTATAATTGAGACCTTCAACATAAGATACAGCTTGGATGGTTAGTCCCTTGTACACCAGATTTCCTAGCCCTTTAGTAAGGTCGAAATCATTGCTTCCTCCAAAGGTAACTCTTGGACCATCATAGGGAATTAGATTGCTCAAAAGGCTCGCATCACCCGTCATGTGTCTTGAACAACCACTGTCTAAGTACCAGACACCTGGGTACTTAGCGGCTTCCTGCATTAAGAGGAGGAAGATTTTGGTACCCAATTCAGTTTGGGTCCGGAATAGTTAATGGTGTGTGTCCCTACATCAAGTTTGAAGTTGCAGGAAATTTTCCTTGCAGCTCTAAACTTGTTGGGATTGTAATTATAGTTATAGGCATAAAACTTCCTACGTGTAGGAGGTGCAATTTCCTGTTTCCTCCTAGTAAACCTTGGTTGGTAAGACCTATAGTTTTGTCTAGGTTGTGCATAGTGTGGCCTGTGTCGGTTATAAGTATACTTAGGTGGCACAAATAATTTCTGGGGTGGAGGGTGACTATATCTTGGCATAGTTCTCCACTCAGAATTTCTTGGAAAACTCCTATCTACCCAATAATGAGTATAGCCTCGTGTATAGTGGGGGTTAGAGGGTTTTCTTCTGAAATTGTTCCCTTTTTGAGGTTTGTCCAGCTTCCTATAGTTCTTAGGAGGGACTACCTTTTTGGGAACTTCTGTTGGTTTCTCCTTTTCCTTTCCTTTCTGCTTATTTGGTTTGGCAGTAGGTTTAGGAGGGATGAAAGTTGTTCTCCCTTTTCTTTTGGAACTGGAGGGGTCAAACCCAAGTCCTTCACGACCCTTATGTTTGGTCGTTTCAAGAAGCTTGTCCACTGCTTCTTTGGACTTAAGTATCCCTAGCTCCTTGTTGAGGGATTTCACCTTTTCAGAGAGAGATTCATTTTCAGCTTTAAGTTGAGTGATCTCATTTAGTTGACTTTTCCGACC